TATTTCTGCGACTGCGATTCTCCTGGTCCTCCACCTTGTATAGGAGAGAGCGATGTGCGATCGCCATCACCCGTTGTGACTCCCTGATTTCTCGATCGTGGCCATCCAGTCGTGTCTCCGATTCTTCCACTCGAGTCAGCAAGTGGGAAAGGTCAGAGCGTACATTGGATAAATCCTGTTTGAGTGAGGATTCCAATACCTGGAACATATGGGCCAGGTCTGATTTTCGTCGGGAGGTCTCTCATTGCCTCCGATACCTGCATATCTGCCGACAGTGGCATAGGAGAGGGGGTATCAGTCGCTTGAAGACCCCGGCGAGTCCATGGCTGGAGACTGCTGCGAGGCGGTCAGAGCCGCCTTCCTTTCCGAAGGTGGCTGCGGCCGCAATGCGGTGGCGGGAGGCGAGCGCGGTTCCGATAGCAGATGCCTCTTCAGTATGCCAGAGGTCGCTTTTTTCGATCCGGATGATCTCTGGCCCTTCCTCCCCATGATCGTGTTCGATGCAGGCAAGATTGAGGCAAGTAAAGGGTAGCTTAACGGCAAGTTTCGTCGGGCTGTGGCGGGAGCTCTGCTTAGGTGCGACTGCTCAGCGCCATGCGTTAGCCACGCCCCCGACTATGGTATTTTTGATATGAGGGTTGTGATTGATCGCCTGCCTTCACCTTATGTATGATATCTGAGAGGCAAAATGATGGAGCCCAATAGGGGATTATTGTGTCTCTAAAAGCACACTGGAGGGGAGTTTATGTTCACTGATTTATCAACTGATTATCATTAGTAAGCAGCTTACCAATGATAATCAGTCAGTATTTATTAATATTTATAAAGTTGGGAAGGAAGGTTTGCTTTTGAGTTTTTGGTTTTTTTTTTGTCTGTTTGTTGTGGGGTTTTTTTTGTTTTTTCGTTTTTGTTTTTTTACTTTATTCCAAAGACCAGCAAGATCAGTTCAGTTGTATTTTATGGTGCCATATCAATGAATTATTTCAGCTGAAGATGAATTGCATAATAAATGGCTGCACAGACAATGGCTGATGTATGCAATTTATCAGAACCTGTCTTTGCTTTTCTTTTGCTTTTTTCTGCTGTGACATATCCTATTGGAAACCAGCCCTCTGGAGGTATGTCTGTGATGAGGCTCTACAATATAGATAGGAAATAACGTCACCAGCACTCCAAAGGATAATCAAGCAATAGTCAATTTATTGGCACATTGCCACGGTAAGGAGTGCAGCGAGACCTTTGATTCCTGGCTCTACAATATAAAGCGTAATCCAATCCAGAAGGAAGCACTGCACAGTATGGCACTGTTCAATAGCTGTCTAGGAAATTAGCATTGTTATCAACTTATTTTATAGGCTGTTGACCAAGTGAATGTGGCACAGCGGGTGATTTTTTTTCTTAATATGTTCTTAGTACACAAGGCACAATATATAAAATTAGAATACCAGCACCTCTTAATTTTTCTGTTTATTCTAGAAATGCACCGATATAAATACTAGTATACGTATCGGTGCCGATACCTATACTAGTATTGGCTGGAAAGCCGGCTCCATGTTCCCTCGTCACAAGGGAGCATGGAGCTGGCTTCCTGGCCATTTAAAAAGCCGGGGGACAGGTAATGACTCACAGGCCCAGCTTCCTGACCAGCTGGCCAATCAAGAAGCCGAGCGGTGAGTCATTACCCACTTCCCAGCTTCCTGATTGGCCAGAAAGCCGGCTCTATGCTTACTCGTCACCTGATGGCGTGGAGCCGGCTTCCCGGCCAATCAGGAAGCCAGGCGTTGTGCAAGGACTCGCGGCCTAGCTTCCTGATTGGCCAACTTCCCGACCAATCAGGAAGCCCGGTGGCAGTCATTACCTGCAACCCCCCCCCCCGGCTTCTTGATTGGCCAGAAAGCCGGCTCCATGCTTCCTTGTCACCTGGTGACAAAGCATCAAAACGGCTTCCCTAGTCATTACACGCCACCCGGCTTCCTTTAATGAGTCTTCCGGTATCGGTATTCGGTATCGGCGAGTACCGGGAAAAAGTATCGGTACTCATATACTCGATACCGAAAAACCGCTATCTGTGCATCCCTAGTTTCTTCCACATGATCTATCAAATGTAAAATGTGAGAGAGTGTTGTGTGTTTTTTTTCAAATATAATATAGATCAGGCAGCAGAGCTTATTTTCCTAATCCTAAATAGCACCGGGATGTCATTTCTCAGGATATTCTTCCCTAACATAGACTTTAGACTCTTATGCTGTTGGCTAAAATTACACACTGCACATCTCTGTGCTCAGCTGCTGAAAGATAAACAATTGAAGTTTTCCCTCTCTCTGCGACTGCTCTTGTACTGATGACAACACTGAAGCATTTGTATTAATCTGGCACTGTCTATTCATTACATCGATCTAAGAACATCAGTCTTCTTGTGTACCAGCCGTACCAGCTTCCATACCTCATACAGTATTTCTTTTAATCCCTAAGGAATAATCCTTCCAATGTCTAAGACTGTGTAATTTTGTAATAAAGCAGCTTCTGCCTGTAGGAATCCGTGCTTGAGTTTGCTCTGCAATTTATAAAAAATTAATTTATAGAAGAACTGCTGACTTGCTTTTTGAATCTCATTGTCTGTTGTTTTTATGATCTTTTAGTAACATGCACATACACTTGTGTTTATAGCACATTAAAGGAAAAGAATCTTATAATAATTCAGCCAATCATTTAACGTAGCATCCATTTTCTCATGTCATGCAAAGATTGACACGAGATTTGAGTTCCGCAAAAGAAATTGTCTGCTTCTCGGCAGTGAAGACGTGGGTAAGTAGAAGGATTTGGTGCAACCATCCAGTTTCATGTTTAAAAGGGCTTTAATGGATTTCTCCAGATAGATCTGTTTAACAATGTGTAAACCAGAAACCTTTTTACTTTTTGGGCAGTCCCACCAGATATGCCTAAATGTACCCTCATCGCTTCAACCCCTAAAACACTGATATGGTTAACCATGGACCGCTCGGGCAAGTCCAGAAGGGACGAGGTACCAACACATGAGTAATCTATAGTTCGTTTCTTTGGCTAGAACATCAATCAAGTTTTTGCAGTATTGAGCCAAATTTTCTGCCAGTCCTTCTGTATTTTGGGTGCTTTCCGATGCCAATTACCAATACTTTTTCTTAAAAGGCCATGCAACATTTTTTCTAAAACAATACAGACTAATGATTTTAGGGCAGTTTCTTTATAATTAAGAAGAAACTGTAACTCAATCCATGATAATACTTGTCCTGATACCAAAAATAATTTTACCGTATTTGCCCTTTAATGTGCATTGTGCGTTAGAGAGCACTGCTACCACAATGGAATGAGGGCAGCACTCAGTGCGCGCGCACACACACACAATGCCCTATGCATGCGTTTATTCACACGCAGGGGGCAGGGCTGGTTTCTATTTTTTATTTTTATTTTTTTAGCACTTTTTTTATTTTATATTTTTAATTTTGTATTTTTTTGGTCACTTTTTTTATTTTTTATTTTTTTTTATTTTATACACTTAAGTTTAATAATCATTCACGGGGCTTACAAGCCCCTATGTGATATCATTCGGAGGTGACAGACTGACTGTCTTTATAAGCCTGGGTATCACTAGCAGTGCTGGTTTCCCAGTTCTTCTCAGAAAATGGCAGGTAAAATAATTGGGGGGATTTTAATGCATACACCTGTGCTTTAGATTGCCTGCATATTGCTGTGAAAATGCGATTTGTGTAATAAGGCTTTTGTGACAGTAAAGGAGACTTTGCATGCATTGCTTCCTATGGAAAGGTTTAATTCATGCTAATATTCTTCTGGCATCCGTGTTTCCTTTCTGCACGTTGATTTGCTTAATGTATGTGTGCTGTTGTGTGATGCTCATTTCCATGAGGAGCTGTTTTAGTGTAAGTCCTGTTTTGGTCGGATTAATAAATCTCGTAGATTGCTATCATTTGCTTCTGCTTTCCATTAGAGGAGGATTATGTTCAGTTGCCTGGGCTTTCATTATTTTGAATTTATACTTACACATCAGTTTTCTGTGAGATGTTCCTATAATTTAATATATATATATAGCTCAAGCATGGCAAAACAGGAGGAGGAGTAAACGGCTACAGCTAACAAAACTATTTGTTTATATCTTCCTATTATCTGTGTATAGCCAGAACTTTTGATGAGCATAAACTGTTTTAGGCCACGTTCACACCATAGAGTTGTGTTAATTGCACAATACTATGCAATTATCGCACAGTGTACCTAGTGTGTGTTGCTGTGAGCTAGGTGCTTTGCCAATTATTTGGATGGCACCCAATACACATCCTTACTGATGTCTGTTGCAATAAAACTGTGTGTTGTGGTGCAAAGAAAATAAGTAGTGCACTATGGCAGCATAGAAATGTATAGTAAGGGTTATGTTACACAGGGCTGTTAGCCTCATGTCTGGTTAAACATAAACCAAACGTCATACATTCTATCACATTCCAGGACAGTTGGTAGCTATTGTCATACATTATCACGTGGCTAGATTGGCTAGTGACTTCCAAACATGTAAGGCTGCTCACTCGATCCTGAGAGCAGGCATCTTTCTCTGTTGTCAGTGTGCATGACTAAAAGAGGTAAAAAAAACAATCCAGGCCATACTACTACTAATCTTAAGTAGGAAAGAAGCTTTCCAAATGGGCACAAATCAAACCTTGACCTTACCCTCTAGAATAAGAAATAATTGAACACCAGCCCCTGGTACAGTGGAATAACTTTACTCCTTCAACAAGGGTTCAGGTGGGTGAATGGCCAGGGGTCCTGTGCACTCCGTGCTGATGAAAGGGCAACCTACAAATGGCAGTGTGCGCATAAGTTATCATGAAAGCAAGTATTTTAACTGATATTTATTTTACTAATTCTATTCAATTCATTATTTTAGGATGAAAATAATTTTATTTTTTAGTCCTGAATGTCTTTTTGTAATTTTTTTTTCCCCACATTCTTTGGTTTAGATTTGCTAGGAGAAAGTTTTGAAGATGTAGAGAGACGACTATCCGAGCTGGAGGACCTGTGTGAGCAGTGTGAGTTTCGGAGGTTCCAAAACGTACACTACATGCAACTAGAGAACTATAAGAAGAAGAAAAGGTTAGTGCCTGTGTCATGTAGATGGGTGAAGTTGTGTCCCTAAGTCATTGTGGCAAGTGCACCAGTTATCAGTTGTATCTGATCTCTCTCCTGCTTACCAAATGAAGTCTAGCATTTTAGGTAGCAGGTATTGCTCTGACTTGGCACCAGATATAACCCTGTGGATTATACATGGCACAATAGAATGCAATAATATGCATATGACATCACAGGTGGCTGTTTTAGCAATTTGTAAGGCAGAAGCAATTTTGTTAAGTTTTATCTTCAGCAGGCTCCTAAAAATTCCAAGCAGTTGGTAAACATTAACCTATTTACATCATAAATCTTGAGACATATTGCACATTTATTAATTGCTTAGCATCTTGGGTCTCAACTGGTGGGTTATGACCCAAAAGTGGGAAGCGACCCCGTGTTCAGGGGGCCCTGCATGCCTTCCATTTTTTCTAGGTGAGAGGCTCCATCAGCCTCCCCCTAGCGCAGCACTGTCAGTTCTCATGCCAAGCAGCCATTCGAAATATGCTGCCTGGTGCCGATTTGTCAGCTTGAGGTGGGGTGGGATGGGGCTATGGCCACGAGGGAGCTGCATTCATATGTGCATTGCTTACAGCTCCGATAATACGAAATCACCTGCACTCCATACAGCATACCTTGGATGAAAGGTTGGTGCTTGAAGTGACAACACGGATGACACTGTGTCGGATACAGTCCATAATAAAAGTCGCAGGCACTCAAAGGATGTGTGCAAGAAGTAAAGCACTTTTTATGAAATTGTCACATGCGGCATACAGCCAATGTGCTGGTGACTTTTATTATGGATTGCTTACAGCTCCCTCACAAGCCCCGTAGAGGTGCCTGGACCGGAATTACATTATGGCTCCTGGCACCTCTACAGGGCATGCAAGGGAGCTGTACAAGCAATGCACGTATGAATGGAGCTCCATCACAGCACAGTAGCCCACTCTGGACCCCATGAGAATCCACTACAGTTCTCGAGAGATAGGGAGACTGGGTGGATCTTAGAAAAATTGAGTGTGATATTATGTCTGTGGTTGTGTGTGTCTCTGTGTTTCTGAGGGCCCCTTCACACGAGTACAGTGTAATAAATCACACAGTCCCTTGCGATTAACGCACTGTACCACGCAAAATCGCACCTACCACAAATTCTGGTGTGGGAGGTGTGTTGCATTGCCATTCATTTGAATGAAACCAAACACACCTCCCACCCACAATCCGATCTCCCGCAGTACCCTAATGCCCTGCTTTCCATTGCGGTGCAACTTGGGTCATAACTTAATGACCAATGACAATGTGGGTCCTGAGGTTACTCAGATTGAGAACCACTGGCTTAGCAGACATGTCCTCCATTCAAAAGTGAAATGGTTAGCAGCATCTATAACACTCATATAAATGCTCCGTGTACCATTTTCTGTGATTAATGCAGTGCTTCATACAATCCTGAAAGTTCTATGCACCTCTGTGAGGGTCAGACTGTAAACAAATGTGACACACAGTAGTGTGCCTGGCGAAAGCCTCTTGACTTCAATTGCACCAGCAAGTAATACTGCAGATTGTCTACTATACTCTTCTACAGACTCCTACCAGGTAAGTTTCATTTTCCACATAAAAGCATCCAAAGAAAAAGGGAGAATGAACTCTAATTACTGTTTTTAAAGGGCTTTTATTAAGCATAAAAGGATTTATTAAGCATAAATTACTTAAAAACCTCTCTGCCCAATACATTTCATCCTAAAGGATGTCATCGTGTACTGAAGATACTGAATTACTAAGTGTGATTAAAAGTAGAATTATGAGTGAGTGGAAAACACTCATCCCCATAATTCAAGGTGACCTGTGACAAAGAAGCTGTCACACATTGGATCTATTGATTTGGGAAGGCAGCGAACACACCTCCCCTCTCAGTTTCTCCAGCGATGACTGGAGGAATGGACGAGGGGGAGAGGGCGGGCACAGCTGGCTCTGCCTTTAGAGTGGAAGAAACAGTTGTCAATCAGCCAGTGGGGTGGATCTCTACACTATTGTCGTAATCCATCCCTGCTTTGACGCTCTCGGCATATGACGGGCAATAGTCCTCTGTATACTAAGTTTTGGGCCACATAGTATATGTCCTCTTGTGACCTTGAGGAGAACTATGGGCGAAATAGGTTGCTCCATAGTTCTCCTTAAGTGTCTCCAGCCTCTGATGTCCTACAGGATGAAACACATTGGGCATAGTGGAATTCAAAAGGCTTTGATGTGGTAGTACACTAAGTGCATTTAGACCTCCTTCCTTCTTTTTTTTTTTCTCCCCCATGAGGTCCACCCCTCTGGTGAGACACCCATGTTTTCTTTTAGGTGGCAGTCACATTCGTTTGCAGTCTGTTTTTTTTTTGGTGGTGCATAGAAGTTCCATGTTTGTATGAAACATGGCAAGATCATGAAAAATTATAAGTCAGTCTTATGCTACTGTTTATATTAGTGCGGGCTTATATCTGCTTTAATTGCTTAGCAGATATACCAATGCAGGGTGTTTTCATATGAATTTTAAACATTTCATCTAAAAAACAAACCTGTATGTGGTTTAGTATGCTAAAGCATCTTGCAGGCAGTGTTACCATTTTTGTAAATGTGTTGCTTTTTTTAACCACAAAGTATAACCAGCAATGAATGCGCAATCTTCCAGAAGCCTCAAAACCTCAATAAATACTATTTCTAGCATATCTGAATCTGAACTATGCGCAAACATTGTTGCTGAAGAAGAAGCTTCTCATGCCAAGCAGTAGTTTGGCAGTAGAAGGCAGGCAGTGCCTATGTGTCAAAATAACATTTGTTCAATACTATTCGTGTATGTATTTTCTTAAAGTGGACCTTGCATTAAAAATATTTTATATTTGAATCCATTCAAAATAAATAGACTCCTTCAGCTGCGTAAAGCTATGTTCACACCTAACGCATGTGCATTTTAGTCTAGGATCGTATTCAGTTGGTTTGAATGTGAAATCACAGCTGAGCATACTGAAAATGTATGAGGCATGTATTAGTTAGAGGAGTACAAGAAAATGCAACAAAAATGAATGTGGTTGATAAAAGTAACAACGTCCTCAAGTTGAACTTGTATATAAAAGAATAAGAGAATTGAAAACCTCCATAAACAGAACTTTGTATCAGTCTTCTAGAAGAAGGAAAAACCTCCTATAAAGCATGGTTCAATTTGCTCCAACAGGGGGAAAGAAATCCCTTTCTGATCCCATAAGGCAATCGGATATTCCGGGGATCAACAATCTCTGGTGTTATTATCTATAAATAATAATAACCAGTAGGGATGTCCCGATGCCACTTTTTCAGGTCCAAGTACAAGTAATTGGTTGCTTTAGAAACGGCAGCTTGGCTTTGCATGCTATTATGCTGAAAAAAAAATCCCTGTGTACTCATTGTTTTGCTGATCTGCGGCATGTATTATCCTGGAAATGCTTATTATTGAGTCTTTGATCTAACAGAACTCCTAGATCCTTCTCATAATTGAATCCCCCAGTTGTACTCCCCCCTAGAACATTAAACCTCATTTGCCAGATAGTTGCCCAGTCACACAGTGCATTCAGGTCTGCTTGTAAGTTAGAGATATTCTGTAAGAACTTTATTCCACTACATAGCTTGGTGTCACCTGCAAACACAAACATGGTACTTTTAATCCAAAACTCTATACACTGCTCGAATTTTGGCTGAGTTAGCCTGGACACGGCCGAAATTCAATCCGTGTATGGCCAGCTTTAGTTAAATGTGCAGTGTACTTTTATAACCAGAATTAACTTTACTGGCGTCAGACCAGTATAGAATAAGTCCTGACTGGTTATTATGGATACTGAAGAACAAATAATTGCTGAAACCACCAATAAGCTAAATGCTGAGTATCACACTGAGCGGATTGCCGTGCGATTTCACGCATTTTTGCCGCGCGATATGGCGAGAAGTCACCGCCAATGTTATTCAATGGAGCTGTTCTAATGTACAGCTCAATGTCGCCCGTTGCTGTCACTTCAACTGGACCCTTTTTCCCCCCTAATTTTTACAATCTATACTTGCTGAGTCTTTCTGTTTTATATCTCAGATATACATATTTTAATCAAACTCATTCCCCATAGAAAGAAACAATTTTTAAAACCATACTCCTGCTCGCTCGCTTTCTTTCCCGCTCGCTTTCTTTCTTTCTCGCTCGTTCTGGTAATTTAATACTAACATCACGTGTCATCTGAAGTCCTGTTATCCTTTACAATGGGTATATTCCCATCTACCTCAAGGTGCTTGTAAGTTTGTAATCCTCTATAATAAAAAAAGTGCAAATTATGGCTGTTTCTATGCTACTCTTCTCTGAGAGTGGAGACATATTGGTATTTATGCATCCAGATTAATGAGGTATTTCCTCCACAAGGCATGTGCTGTGTCCCTCAAGTACCATATCCCTTCATTCTCTTTCAGAGTATCCATTGTTGTATTGCAACAAGTCACGGACAGTGTCCATGATGTAATGATGAGCTGTCGTTTGATACATTTCATGTTCGGGATAAGCAAAGCTGTATCCTATGATACATTAATACAGATAATGTTTTAATTCTGGGTACTGACTCTCGAACCTGCCACCTTTTTTTCCTTGAGCTGTTTTACTGAATTAATCTGCTATTGTGTATTTAATCTGCACTCACTTCATTTCAGCTTGGTGAACCTTTTAACTGCCAACCAAAGATAAAGTATCTTCTGCTGTTTCCACTAATGAGTACTTTCACAGCGGAAAAAAAAAAAAATCCAATTATAGAACCATTCTCAAAATATTGTACCCCACAATAGCTTTTTTACCTTCTCATTTGATGCAGACCTGAAAGAGGCATAATTGAGACTGCTAAATTATTACAGAATAAGACTCAATTTGTCTGCTTTAAGAACAGAGCACTTTAAGCTTTGTGGACGGGTTTAGAACAGCTACAATAAGGCTCCAGAGAGGCAGGAAGTGAGATAATTCCAGTTTGCAGTGCTCTTTGTCATGTCTTTGTTCTGCAAGTGAAATCTGCCAGCTAGTCTTTAAAGGGACAATACCATGTATTTAGCATGTGCGCCTTCCCTGTCTTCAAATCCTTGTGTGTTTTAACCTGTACTTTGTACTATATCTTTTAAGCTTGCTAACTGTGTTCGTCCGTATAATATATGAGCTCACTAAATTGGGATTTACCCCAGGTTTACATTAGCAAATATATTAAATATCATTTTTCATTTTTTGGCAACCATGATACAGTACACTCTGTTATCCGGTATTATTTATTTTGGTATTTTATATAGGCAATTTTATGCAGTGCTTTACACAGTGCACTTTCACATCAGTCCCTGCCCCCAAGAAGCTTACAATCTAAGGTCCCTATCTCTCATGCATACATATGAGGGCCAATTTAGACAGGAGCCAATTAACCTTCCAGCATGTCTTTGGAGTGTGGGAGGAAACCGGAGTACCCGGAGGAAGCCCACAACAGCACAGGGAGTACATGCAACCTCCTTGTAGATGGTGACCTGGCTGGGTTTTGAACCAGGGACCCCCCAGTGCTACAAGTCAGAAGCGCTAACCACTACACCACTGTGCTGAAAAAAAAATCCCTGTGTACTCATTGTTTTGCTGATCTGCGGCATGTATTATACTGGAAATGATCGTGTGTCTGTCTTGATTTGCTTTTGATTACTGCATTTCAATATCAATATGAAGTCAATACAGAGTTTGGTATGGTATGGTATAGTATGGGGTATGACATTAGTAAGACCCATTTTTAATAGTAACTCTCAAGCTACCAGAAACTACTTTTATCTGGAACCTACCAATCCCTGTGGATGACGGATAATGGGGAGTTTACTGTATCTCTAGCTTGCTCTGAAATGTGTTTAGCTATGAATGACTATTACAGACTCTATTCTGTGAAATTAGTATCTTCTTCTCTCTTCTTTCTTTTCTTTTTTTTTTTCTTCCTCAGTATCATTTTGTGTATTTGCTTTATGATTGCAATAGTGGTGGGTTGTAAAGTAAGTGACTCTGGCCTGTGTTTGTAATTTGTCTCTTATGTCTCTCTAACTTTGTTTTCTTACAGGAAGGAGCTGGAGAGTGTTAAAGGTACATTCTATTTTTTTTTTTTTTATTGCATATGTTTTTTTTCTGATCTTGAGTACAGGTTTGCCTGAAAGCAGAACATAAGCATCAAATCTTAACCCTTGTGATGGAGCTACCCCTGCACTGCAAGCATTAAGTGTTTGTTTTGTCTAGGGAGCTAAAATAACTAAGTTATACTCACTCCAAACCATGATAACAGCTGGCTCGTACACCACTCCCTCTACCCTGTCACCTCCTTCACTTCAGCAATTCTATATGCTGTATAGAATGTGATGACTCACAGGACCTTAGACCGCTAGAGCAGAGAGGGAAAGAGGCTGGAGGGACCAGTCTAACAGCAAGCCGGGGTCGTGGTTCGCGTGAGTATAACTTTATTTTAGCTCCCTCGGCAAAACAAGCTTCTTCACATATTCTGGTCACAGGATCGCTTAAAATCTCAGAGTAATAAATCCTCTATACGTTTATTGTATAATTTGAACTTTTGATCACATAAATTCAACTTGGTGGTGTAGCCTCAGTGCTGTGATTTTATCTCGGGTATGATCATCCTAGAGTAGAACGGGCACTGAATTCCATGGTGATTGCAGCTTGGCTCTTATCCAGTTCTATGTGACCGCACACATGGAAGCATTGTGGCACCTTTGCTTCAAACTATAAAATTGTTGCATTTAATTCGACAGTCCACAGCAGTCTTCCACCCACAGTTTCCATTGTTCCCGATTGTGAGTGACTAGATCACAGTTGCCATAGAAATTAGTTGAAACAACCACAATGCCAATTTAAAAGCTTTTTGGATTTCCACCACAATTTTGTATATTTAGTAACTCAAAATGGAAAGTCATTTGAACAAAGATGATAGATTGCTGCTGTTGGGGTTTTTTTTATCAAAGGTTCAATGAAAAGCCAGTAGATGGGCTTTAAAGTGACACTAAACTCAGGAGTTAAATCTTAAAAATATATTAAAGTACGTTAACTATTAACAAAAATGTATCTAAAGGTGCCCATACACTGCTCGATTCTCGTACGAGAATCGCGGGAAATCCCGCGATCGTACGAGAATCGAGCAGTGTGAAGGAAGACGTGCGACCGTTTCTACTGTACGGTCGCACGTCTTTTGTCGAACCAGCATGCTCGAAAACCCGCCGAGAATCGTACGATTGTAGACCGGTTTCTAGCCTGCTCGTTCGATAGCTGTGGAACAGGCCGGTGTGCGCACGCTGGTTCTGCATTGCGGTCATTGGAAGCCCGCCCCTCAGCGGGGCGGGCTTTCGATGATCGCAAGTACGATCTGCCCGTCCAAGGTGGGCAGATCGTACCAGCTTTCAATAAGCATACGACCATCGCAAGACAAAAGTCTTGCGATGGTCGTAAGGTGTATGGGCACCTTTTAGCTGAAGATCCTCAAATATCTCAGCTGAAGATCCTCAAATCATCTCTGAATTGGTGCTGAGCTGACACTGTCCTTCCTTCTGGAGGGTGGCTATTTTTCTTCCCCATGGTCCCAGCGTGTGTTGTGAAATAGACACCGCTCGACGCTCGCTCCCATGATGGACTACAATCTCATGTTTGGTTACCTATTTTGTATTGAGATTGTAGTCCATCACGGGAGCAAGCTTGGAGTGGTGGTTTGTGGTGACCCCCAACAGTCACATTTAGGCACCATGCACTTGGATGCCAAGCTCATCCAGCAGTGCCCGCAACATGCCCCAGCATCAGAAGAACTGGCAGTGGAGATCTGCAGTGATCGCACCAGTTTTCTCTCCACTCACTGTCCGATCCCAGAGTCTGCACAGTAATCACCTGGGGAGCCACTGACAGCCCCACCCTCTAGCTCTGCTCAGTTTCTCCCAGCACCTGCCCGCACGGCTCTTCCCTCTCCTACCGCACAGGCTGCATGGGCGGTAGGTCCACCCCTAGGGGGAGCCCTCCTGGTACCGGCCCTCACCTCTCGTCCATGTGTCACTCACTGCAGTTTTAACTGCAGAAGCTTTCCCGCCCACAGCCCTCTCTCTCTCTCGGGTGTGAAAATAAAAAAAAAAAACTACTTGTCCAGGGACTAAAGCAGGGGCCCAATCTACTTGTCGTGATACAAAAAATTATGCGAGCGGG